CCGGCCCGCCAGCTCACTGCACCCTCCCCTGGGCTCCCGCCTTCCCAAAGGCACTTCGAGCAGCCCGGGCAAAGGCGGCGGGAGACAGACAGACAGAGCGACCTCCCCCTTCTCCCTCCGCCCCAACTCCGCTCGCTCGCACACAAAGGAGAGGAGACGCGGGAGCTCGGGGCGCTGGTTCAGCTGCTGCAGGCTTGACAGCTCCTGCTCGGGTGGCTGGAGGGGGAGGCTGAGGACCGCGGGGCGGAGTGGGAGGGGGGCACTGGACAGAGGAGCCCGACGCGGAGGTGCTGGGGAGGCCGCCGGGGGGCGCGGGGCTAGAGCGGCTGCTGTGCGCAGCGCAGCGCAGCTGCAAGGGTTTGAGGGCGACTGTGAGCGGGGTGGGTGGTGGGGCTCGGGGCGCCCAGCCAGACTAGGGAGCAGCGAGACAGCCGGGGTGGGATCCAGAGGGCGAAGGCGGGGTCGCTAAGGACACGATGTTAGGCAGAAGGGGATCTGGGATGCCAAAGCGGGCTGTGGCGAACCCCATCCACTCCCCTCCAAATTGTCCTTTGTTGCTCTGGAGCGGATGGTCCCAGGCCGGCAAAATCGTGAGTTTCCTAAAACATCCTCAAAACACCCAGCAAGCCAATCAATCCAGCTGCACTTAAGTACCCCAGCCACGGACAGAGCCCGACGGGTCCACTGGGCTTTTGATGTTGGCCTTCAAAGAAATAGAGACGTTCTAAATATGTCATCAGGCCCACACAAAGCCGGGTGTCAAAGAGGAAGGTTCTCCGCCTGCGTCTTGCAAAGGATCCTCACAAAAGACCCAAGACCCGCGGCAGGGCCGACCGTGCCTTTTCAGGATAGGGGGCTGCTAGGTGTGTGTGAGAGAGACGAGTGCAAGGTGTGCCCCTTCCCCTTTGTATTTAAACCTAAATTAATTTCACTGGAAGGAAATATCATGCAGATTTTTTAAAGTCTATTTCACGCTCCCAGCAGGATAATCGGTTCTTTCAATCCGGAAGCAACAGAAAACTGTGAAATTTGAACAGAAATTGCTAGATCAGAGGGAAAAGCAAATATTAAAGGGATGAAAGTACTCTCATTATGTCGCAAAGTGGAAAGTGTTCACATTGGGGAAGTTCAATTTTTCAAAACATGGTTAAAAGGACACAGTTTAAAAATTATCAGGAGTGACACAGCAACAGCAGCCAGTCCTAGGGGGATCCACATCAATCAGGCACCTAACATACAGTGAATAATAAATGTTGAATAATCACAATATGCACCCATGTCACACCTTCGAGTTGATTTAAACTTTATTTTTTAATTCTCTCTAGCACGCCATCCCAGTGCGTCTTCCCAATAAGGCTCATTTTTAAAAGTGCAGCTCAATGAACAGTTGAGGGCTCATGAGCACTTTCCAGTCCCATTGGACTGAGTTTTCCTGACACTCATCTAATGGAACTTGAAACATCCCCACCTAGCGTAAAGGGATCTACACACCCCCACCCAGCCACCATTTTTCTTCTTTTTGTGCAATGCAGCCTTGATGCAGCCTAATCTGGAGCCCTTTGGGGGCCTAATGGCTCATCACGACCTTGACCTCTCTATCAGAATGGAATTTGCTGTTTGCCCAAAGTTCTTCTGATCAAAGGCCGCATCTACTTATTTGACAAGTAATCTTTGTGTCCCTCCAGATGGGCAATATCTGATTTGGCTATGTCACCTAACTGTCACCATTTGGGGCTTCGAAGAAGGCAACATCTGGGCTCAAACTCCAGTTCTGCCACTTATTAGCTAGGTGACCTTGAGCAAGTTACTTACACACACTGAGCCTTAGTTTCTCCCCCTGCAACCAAAGTCCTGCTAACATAGGGTGCTGTGAAGACTGAATGAGATGCTATATGTAAAGCCACAGTGTACCTGGCATGAAGTTCAGGCTCCATAAGTGATTGTAAGTTGTTCACTTAAAAGATCGAATCTATGGCTTGAACAAATGTTTGCTTTCTCCATTGCATCTGGAAATAACTAATCAGCAGTGACTTGTTCTATGAGGGGAAATGCCTAATCTTTGGCCCAAGGTTAATATCTTTCTTGTATCGAATTGAGCAACAGGTTTCAACTCTTCTCAAATGTCTCACAAAAGGATGTCAAATTCTATTTCTGCAGTTTGAATGCTAATATTTACCTTCATAGAGCTTCATGGTCCTTAGAGAAAGTAAAACGTGGCCTTATGAAGTAGATTATTTTTATTATCCTAAATTGACAGATGAAGGAACAGAGGGAAGGACCACCCCCAGGCGCCCTAATTTTTTCTCACTAGGTAAAGGCCAGAAGGATATGAAGACAAAAATAATGCTTGCTAAATAGAAATGGGATAACTGGGAAGGCTTAGCTCGTTGGCAAGAGCTGGATGGTAACTCTGATGCCCATTATTTTAAAGAATACAAGAAAAACTCCATTTCAGACTTAAACTCTGAAAGTTGATCAATAATTTGGATTTTGAAAACCATAACCAATGGAGAAAACTCAGCTGGCATGATCGCTTACTGTCATTTTTCTTAGATTCAAAGGCCTAAGGTTCTTGCCGCTCCTTGCAAATGTTTACTATCAGTGAATGAGCAGGAAGTGGCTGAAGGAAGATGCTAACTCCTTCCTCAGTAGGCTCAGGAACCTGTTTGTGGACCTTCCAAAGTGTTTTTCCAAATGCAACAATAAGAAAATTAGTTCATATATTTTATTCATTCATGTGTGGCATTAATTCTAGGTAACGCCTATTTGCCAGTGGAAAAGGAAACTCTGGTGCTAAAAAGATCTTAGGTCTGTTTGAAAAAGAGGATTTTTTTTAGACATTTCTACCTTCTTCCTTCAAATACGAAAAGACTTGTGGGATTAAAGGAGCTGTGTTGATAATTTGGTCTATTTAGGATTAAAAACTGCCATGTTGTTTTACCTACGCTTTCATGCAAACTTAATATTTAAAGCCTTCCCACCTTCCCTTTCCAAATATATTTCCATTCTCCCCCTTGCAATGCAACCCCTTCTTCTCTGTGCCTATACCACCCAGGGCTGGCAGTACCAGCCCTGTCCCATGTCTTCCCTGCTGGGCATCCTTCATATTGCGAAGGTTCAGGTGGAATGCACCTTGCTGGAGAATAGCCCCTGATCCCCAAGCCAGAAGCCAGCTCTCCTGTTGAATTCCTCAAGTCTTTTCTCTGTACCCACCAACTGGTAGGTGCTCTGTCTTGTTCTAATGGTAATATTGAAATACATTTTATCTCCCTACTCCATTAAAAGCTTCCGGCGGACAGGATCCTTGTCTGTCCAGCCTTTGAATTCTCTAGCACGATTTGCACACAATAGGCACTCAATACATGTCTGTTAAATAAATGAGTAAACAAAAGAACAAACGACTCTATACTTGGTTCTCAAGGATGCCAGTTACATATCACACCAGTAGCTGCAACCACTGACTAACACATCTCTGACAAAAAAAAGTTGATGTGCGTGTCATGACACTTTTTCACTGTGAACGAGAAAAACTGAAATGGTGAAAACAGAAAAATAAAATTCCGATGGAGTAATGTTTGCAATCCACCTCCCCATCACCGGCTGTTACAACTCATGTAATTTATTGTTTACACAGTAGCTCTTATGTTACTGTAATTTGTTTATTTTTGCTTTACTGTTCCTTTGAAGTTTAAAAGCAGACATGAAAACACTGCAAGGTGAAGGTAGCTGCTGTGGTTGAAGCTAGGCTCCCACGTTCCAGGCACCCTGGGGTGTCTGTGAAGGTCATTCCTTTTCTCTGTGCTAAACACAGAATGAAATATTTCTTACTTTCAAGATTAATCCAGTGACCGGCACTCACGAGAGACTCGTGGGGCTATCTGTCAACTAGCTTTAAATATTTTATGGCAAATATTCCACTCTACCCTGAAAACTGGTCCTTTCGCCATCAATTTCTCAACATCGATATAGTCTTTGTTGCAGTGAGAAATATTTCCCTTTGTACTTTAAGCCGTGTTTCTAAATACAAAGATGACTGGTCCTGTTAAAGAAAAAAAGCAGGCTCTTGCGGGTAATGCCAGGCGTTAACTAGAGGCAGAAGGTGAGAAACTCCATTTCC